GTATGAACTGAAACCTCCACAAACTGTGAGCTAAATAAACCTTTCCTCCCTTAATTTTGGGTGTCAGGTATTCTGTCCCAGCAATGAGTGAAAAGTAACTAAAACAAGCACAAGCACCAATTTAGGAGATTTAGTAGCCATCGTGCGCATTAGTGGCACCAGAGCCTGGCGCGGGAGCAAGCCAAGCCCCACACCTGGTAGGAGTCTTCTGATGAGAACAGGTAGAACCCAACCCTTGATAGCAGGTGTCTGGCATGAGATCAAGTGGAACCACCTGGACCAAGTGTCAGAGAAGACCCAAAGGACAGTAGCGACTGACTCTGTGGCCACTGCAGTGGTCCATTCTCGCAGTGGCCCATTCTGCGTGCAGGACACATCGTTCTACTTCTTCCAAGCACCCTTCCTCCCTGAGCACCTCTTTTGTGCTTCTCCTTTTCCTTTTTCTTATTTCAGCCCTAAAATAAGTGATAATTTTTCACATCCACCAACTGTCCTGCCCAATTCATTGACTGGGACAAATAAGAACCCAGAAAATTCTGCTGGTTCCCCCATTCTATCTGATAATAGGATCCCAAAACCAAAGTCAGATTATGATTCCGAAACTATGTGACACAGTCAGATAAAAGGAAAATGCAGAAGGAAGGAAGAAAGGAAGAGCACAATCATTAGGCAGGAGGAAAAGAGCATCCGAGGTCAGAAAAGGTGGAACAAACAGGGAGTCCAGCTCCTAGCTCCGAAGGGTCTCCAAGTCATTTCTTGGGCCAGACTCTGGCCTATGCGTGGGGCCAGCAGTGAGCGGGGGCTGCTGACTGAGAGAAGTATGTGGAACCATCTAGACAGATACTTATGGTCCGTTGGAGCCAATAATTGTTCCAAGGGCTTACTTTTGATTGCTATCAAGTCTGTCCCCTTTCAACCTAAAATTTATTTCTCTAAAAGTGTCTGCATTTTATATTAAGGTTGTTAGAAGGCATTTTAAACCAAGGAATAAAAAGCATGGTGAGCATTTGAACACTCAGAAAATAGACCTTGGGACATTAAATCCTACAGCCTTATACACAGAAGAGGCAGGTAACTGTTTGCTGTTTTAAAGAGGCTTCCTTCTCCTGATACACCATTTAAATATCCTCAGACTTCTCAAAACATCCTTCATATAACTGTTAGAGAACTGCATGTTCAGCATTACCTAATTTGCTCATGAATCTCTTGCCTTTTAATCAGCTAAGTGGCTATCTGCTGAATTTCCCTGATTTATTGATATCTTTTGCAGGCTGAGGATACGTCCAGACGCTAAGTGGCTCAATGTGGATGAAATGGCACATCACCATAATTATGATAGGGAAGAGAATCGTGACTCGGCATACAGAGTGCTTCAGAGACAAATGTAGGCGGCTCCCTTAAAGGGCAGCTCCAGAGCTGCAGAGAAAAAAAGACACGGCCAAGCAAGCTTTCCCACAAAAATTTTCCCAACAGATCTCATGAGAGAACTGGATTAGCTGGCTCAGCAGGTCCTCTGGAACTATGACCTTTGTAGAAATCATGGAACTGGGACAGCACACGGGCTAAACCAAAAGGTAAACCCTGAATTCTGTTGTCGCCTTAGCTACCCAACTGTGTCACACTTGCAAAAGTTGTTTTAACTCTTGAGACCCACATCAACTGTTAAGCCAGAACAATCCCTGACAGAGTCTTTAAATGCATTCCTTAAATACAGTCTGTATATATAGTACACCGTTCAAAAACAAACCATGTTAGCGAGACTGGAAGGACTACGTACTGTTGCAACTGTTACAGCGCCACCTGCTGGCCACCGAAATGCAGTACCTACTGTAATTTGGTGAGGTCAGCTAGCATTAGAAAGGTGAGAAATGGTAACGACCTAGCAATGAAAAAGAACCTAATTTCAAAATACAAATATTGACTGACACTGGCAAAGCCATCTCCTGTCTCAGTGCTTCTGCAGCCCAGTTGCACAATTTATCACATTTATACAGCACTAGGGAACAATCTAGCAACTATTACGCTATTCATCATGGTTTTGTTTAATGACATGAGTATGTACAAACAATACTGAAAAATCAATACTGAGAATATGTTGCGCTTCAAAGGCTTGTGTATGCTCTTGGCTTTTAGCCTTGGGGATTAGCATGTATTTAAACAGATGATTTCTTACCTTCATTAATACATTTTATAATGTAGTACTAAAAGATTATTTCAAAAAGCAAGGGATTATCATCCTATGTGGATGAAATGGCATATTTGTGCCTTAAAATGTTCTGATAACTTAAAGTCTGTGTAATATATATTATATATTATATTATGCTAATTATATTATGTCAGCCCCCCCAGAGGGTCTAATGAGAGGAATTCTAAACCTGCATTATCCAACGTAGCGGTCACCAGCCACGTGTGACTGTCGGGTGCCTGAAACGTGGCTGGCAGCACAGGCGGAAATGATGGTACTCTGAGTAGCTCAGATTACTTAAAATATGCTGTTCAAAAAAACCGTGGAAATAAGTCAAAAGTTTGGGAGCACTTCCATGGAAGCAGCGTACAGAAGAGAGTTAAAGCCCCACCGCACGCGCGTTGACTTACACCAGGACGCACTGCATCGCTAGACCATTATTTAGCAGCCGACTGTCATTCATACATTGCTTCTGTGGACTCAGAGTTTCAGTTTAGGATACCCAGGCTAGGGTAGAATAAGCACTTCCCTGGCAAGCACAAGGGCCTGAGTTCAATTCTCAGTTCTTAAAAAAAAAGGATATCCAGGCTGGACTCATCTCCCATCTGCAGGTGAGGCATAGGTGGGAGAAGGCAAGGTTTAAGAGAAATTGGTGAAAGAACCAAGCAGGAGGGTAGAACTTGCTGACTACATGCATCTGTGCTGAAGGTCTTGCTTTAGTTCAGTCTCATCTTGAATGCTCTGAACCAGAGCAAAGGGCAAAGTTTATTTAATAAACATCGAGGAAGGGACATGACCCCCGATGAAAAGTTGGGCTGGGAAGATAGCCCTGCAGTCTAAGCACCTGTCTGGTAAGTGCAAGGACTTGGGTTTGATCCCCTGTACCACAGGTTGTGCCAGCCACTGAAACCAGGCATGGGGGTACATACCTGTAACCCCAGCACTAAGGAGGCTGAGACAGGAGGATCACTGTGAGTCTGAGCTGCATAGCGAGACCTTGTACCAAATAAAATATTTTTTAAAAATTAATTAAGAAGATGAAAACGGGGCACTGTTGACCCCCAGGAGCCCAGTGGTGGTGAGGTGGGGCAGGCAAACCATAAACAGTCAGCACAGCGCAGCAAGGAAGCTGTGAGCAGGGCTGCGAAGGCCTACAGTACAGCGCAGCCAGCCACGACCTGGGAAGGCTCCACAGAAGGGAGGACATTTGAGCTCAACCTCCACGACACCCTGCTGTTTGTCACCTGAGCTCCGCAGCCTCCAGTCTCCACAATGACCAAGGTGTCCTAAGAAATGATTGTGGCGCCAGCAAAACTGAGGCTTCTCCAAAAGGCCAACTGTTTCAACAGAGCCTTTTGCACACTGGTGCTGTTAGGCATGAGGAGTGAAGCACACGTCTCTAGTGAAGCCAGCTTTAACAGGTTTCAGGGAAAAGTCATGGCACGGAAAAAGTAATTTAAAAAGCTCCATTGTGGTCACTGGGAACTGGAAAACATTCATTCCTGCAAGTGACATGCAGGCCCTGAATTACATTACTTAGTGCCCACAATTTTGACTGCCTTGTCTCATGGGAGCCCTGACTCAAAAGTTAGATATGAAGAAATCTTGAGGATGACGTGTGATTAAAAAAATACACTGCATGTTGCTGGCATGGCAACACTTGCCTGAGGTCTGAGCACTCGAGAGGCTGAGGCTGAGGGACCCCTACGAGCTCGAGGCCAGCCTGGGCTACGTACTGAGTTTCAAGACCAGCCTGACACTCACAGAAAAACCCTCTCAAAGGAATGTTTAAATTTTTAAAAATTTATTACAAAAGACACATTACTATTAAGTGTCCCCAGTGCTCCCTCTGACTTCAGACACAAGTCTCTTATTGTCCTTGACACTTTTCTGAAACAGTCCTGCAAGTCTTGTTTGGTGTCTAGCTGTGCTGTTGTCGCTGCCCTGATGTCCTGATCAACTGAAAACATTTACCTTTTTTTTTTTTTAATTTATGTATTTGGTACAGGGTCTCACTATGCAGCTCGTACTCATAGTGATCCTCCTGCCTCAGCCTCCCCAGCTCTGGGATTATAAGCATGTGCTGCCACACCTAGACTTGGTGGCCGGCTAAGTGTAGCGCAGGACATGTGGTGCTGGGGATCAAATCCCAGGCCCTGGGCTTGCCTAAGCAGGCTGTCAGTCTGTTGAGCTATCTCACCGGCCCTAAAACATTTTATCTTTAATGGTCACTGACTTTGGGGAAGAGACAGAATTTGCATGGAGCCAGATCTGGTGAACAATGTGACTGAGGACCCACAATTAGGTTCTTATGAGCCCGGATTTTCACCGGATGGCACATGGCAGCAGCAATAACTGTTTTTTTGGTTTTTTTTTTTTTATTACACCCCATAAAGGCACTCACAAGAGAGGACTTCTAGAACTGCACCGGAGCGTGGCACAAACAGTGAGTGTCTCTGGGCAAGAGGGGGCATTCTGGAGATACGGATGGCAATGTGTTTTTTACTACATTAAAATTTTTTACTTACAACATATTTTGATCACCCCTTGTACCTCCAGTCATTTAATATTCACAGGAACTGGCTAATCTAAGGAAACATACAACAAGCCAGGGGTGGTGGTGCATGCCTGGAATCCCAGCACTCAAGAAGCTGAAGCAGGAGGATTATTGCGAGTTCAAGACCAGCCTGGGCTACAGAGCAAGCTCAAGGTCAGTCTGGCCTGCAGAGCGAGGCCCTGTCTCAAAAAGACACACACACACACACACACACACACACACACACACACAAAAGAAAACACAGTGACTCTATTTCCATAAATGCAAAGTCTTTTAATCATATGAACCCATACAATTTATTACTACAAAAAATTTACAAAGTTGAGTGTCCCAGAATGGCATACTGTGGTTAGTACTACACTGATGCTACATATGAATGCTTTGTGTTGGAGAAATCCTGTGGCATCGCAGACATGTGCTAAGAAGCAGCGTCCTGTCTTTTTAACAGCTGGGGCCTTCTAGTGCTCTGGGGCAACTCTTCTCCGAGAAATAATTAATTTGGGGTTTCTGTTTCTTTCTACCAGTTCTAGAACAAGGCTTTCTCTGTAATGTGATAATGTGTAATAAGACTGAAGTTTTCTGAGCTGAAAATTAATAAAATGAAATCAACAGGAAAAGAACCCGGAAGTCATGAGAACTTCTGAGAAGGGAGGCACCCACACATTTACCCAGGTCGGAGAAAATCTTGGGGGAACCTAGTGTGGGGCTGAAAGTGGGAGGAGTCCAGGTCACAGACTTTGTGGGCAGCATTTGCTCTATATCTGGAATGACTGGCTGGATAGGGGCGGGGGGTGTTGGAGGAGATCTACTTTTAAAAAGAGGAGAGGTAGGATGGGAAAAAGAAAACCGCTGGGAGAGAGCTCCGAAGCAACACCACTCATTCAGTATTTCCAGTTGCCACTCTTACACCCCAAGACCTCTCGCTCCCGTCATCCCCCAATTTTTCCTTCTGTATGCAGTGATCACATTTCACTGTTACCAGAGACCTGCGGGCAATGACTGCCCTGGTGGAACAAAAACCCAAAAGTTCGCCACAGTGGGAATGTCCACACAACCCCCAGCATCCCCGGGGAAGCCTGCTTTCAGCCCCTGCCCGAGGCTGGGTATCTCCCCATCTCCTCATCCGCTTTTTCCTGCATCCCTCTGATGCCCCAGTGGGGAGCCCCCTCCACGCTGAGGAACCATGATCCTGGCCCCAGGTGCTGCTTTGCTGTTTCTGCTCCAGGCAGGTTGCTCAGCACTGCTCTCCGAGACCTCACCCGGGGTGTGTCCCACGCCAGCATCTCCCCAAGCCCACCCCTCAGCCTCCACCAGGCGCAGCTCCTCTGGCTACAGCGCTGCAGACTGGGTCTCAGGGAGCCCGCTCTCCTCCAGCTTCAGGCCCAGGTTGTCGATGCCAATGCTGGTAACCTGGGGCACGCCGCTGCTCTCCGCTGGCTCCGCCGTGCGCGTCGGGGTGGAGCAGTACAGGACAAACCCCAGCATGATGACTGTGAAGGCCACGATGTAAAGAACTGAGAACTGGAAGGACAGAGAGACAGACGATGCACTGAGGGCGCCGCATCTGCCCTGCTGCCTTCTGCCAATGGTGTCCTGCGGACTGCCTTCATGTCGCTTGTCCTCGGCAAGTTGGCAAAGAAGAGCCTAATGCTCTGCACCCTTCTGCGAAGCACTCGCAAATGCTATGCCAGGGAAGCCACGCGCTCTGGCAACAGCACCCACCACACCAGCCCACCGGGTCCTCGGATCTTCAGAAGTGCAACCTTTGCCATTTTGTGATAATAAAGAGCGGCACCCCAGCCCGAGAGCCATCCCAGCAAGTGGAGAAGGTGTAAGCCAGCATGCAGGACCATGAGACAGCCCACTGGAGTCCCTAGACACGCCTACAATATTGCTGTAAAACAGAAGCGCAGAACTAAGATCAAACGTGGATGGACAGATGTGACAGTTGCTGCATAGCCCCTCAGCCCGGGCGCCATCAATACATTTCATTCTGATAAAATTTAACAAATGATTTTTGTCTCTGTAGGCAAAGGTTATGTGGTAGAATCTGTGGTGGATACCAGGCATGCTGATGTTCACCTGCAATCCCAGTTCTCAGGAGGCTGAGGCAAGAGGATCACTGTGAGTTCAAGGCCAGCCTGGGCTACTCAGAGACTGTCTCAAATAAATAAATAAATAAGAAAAGGGGGGTAGGGAATATTTATTCAGTCAAAAAAATAATTAACTTAGATTAGGTTTCATATTATGACCAAAAGAGAGAGAGAGAGAGAGAGAGAGAGAGAGAGAGAGAGAGAGAGAGAGAGAGATTGGTAATAGAATTACAGAGTAAAACAATTACAGCATGGGCTAGTGAAGGAAAAGGATTAGAAAGACAGAAAACTGAAATGACACAGTGTGAAAGGCAGAAAAAAGGGCTGGGAAGATAACTTGGCAGTCTAAGCACCTGCCTGGAACAGCAAGGACCCAAGTTCAATCCCCTGTACTGCATACCACGCCACCCAGCACTGAGGAGGCTGAAACAGGAGGATCACTACGAGTCTGAACTGTGTAGTTAGACCCTGTATCAACAACAAAATTCAAAAAATAACAAATAGAAAGGTTTAAAAAAAAAAACTAAGTTTGAGAAATGAATATTAAAACTTCTAGTCATTTCCAGCCATGGACTTAAGCAGAAGGCCATTGGGTGTAATGTTAGTTACCACTGGTCTTAATTCTTGTACTTGATACTTAGCTTATGCAACACGTAGCTGATGTCTAAGAATGTCTATTGGGAAAAAAATAATACAACAAATATTAGGAGAAGTTAAAACTATTTAGTGTACCCCAAACTTTTTTTTTTATTGAGTTGGGATTTCACTATGTTGGCCAGGCGGGTCTTGAACCCAGACTCAGGAGATCCTCCTGAGGGTGTCAGCCTCCCAAGAAGCTGAGACTAGAAGCATGCACCACTGCACCCAGCTTATGAAATTTTAAAGTCACTATTACAAAAGTAGCATGCTCAAAATAAGCAAATAAATAAATAAATTTTAGGGGCCGGGGATATAGCTCAACGGCATAAGTACCTGCCTGGCAAGTGCAAGGTCCTGAGTTCAATCCCTGGTACTTAAAAAAAAAAAAAAAGAGCCAAAAGTAGTATGCTCTTTTATGAGACATCCAGTGTTACCTGCAAGAACCGTATAATTTGTGCCCTTTTTTGGTCTGGTGATCTATAACTGTTCAGAAGAAACCATGTTGTGTCACTCTAAGAAGGCCAACGATGGAATGCAGCCCTTCTTTAGAACAGAGACGCGCTACTTTTTTCTTCTTACAACTCTATCCTTTGTATCCAGATCTATACAGGAAGGTTCTAGTGACTACTTTACTCAGAACATATCTACTCAAGATCAGCCACAAGAGTGACCGTGCTCAAGGTCACTAGGGCCTCGCTTCCAGCTGTCTACTCCAAACACATCCCTGCCAAAGTTATTTCTGGCACTATAATGTTTTTACGTTGGTAGTATCTTTTAAAATGTCTAACACCGTGTCTTCATTAGGTCCTGAATTGTATCTACTTCTGCTCTTTGCCCTGCAACTTTTGAAACAGACTCTGACCAAAAAACAATAAAACAGGATCCAAGTTAAGAGGACACTGCTAAAGATGCAGTCGGTCATATTAAAGCACTGAAAGGAGTTTACAGATTGCATGCTCCTGTTGGAAGCATGTGCCCAAAAAATGACAAAGAGGTTTACTCATACTAAGGTTCAGGGTAGCTGAAGAACGGATAGTTAAGATCTGAACCTAACAGCTACCACTCTCCTAGAATCACAGCGTGGAAACACCAGCAGCACCAGGTGGTCATGGGAAATGCGGTCCCACCCCCAACACGGAGCAGCTCACCCCCCCTTGGACTGATGTAGCCCCTGTCACCTCAGACGGGAGCAGGAGGGGTCAAGACCCCTTCCCAGGGTCACTTGACATTCTTACTTGTTGCAATGTGACCAATAAGCTATAAAGACTCCTTCAGCCTTGGTTGAGGAATATCTTAACTAAGTCTGCAAAGATAACAGCGGGTTCTTGCCCTGTGTAATCGTACAAGGCAAAGGTTGATGCTTCATAAGCAGCAATTTCTGAGAAGCCAGGGAGAGTTATGTATCAATAATGCAGATAAGCACCGTGAGTTCACGCTGGTTCCCGGGAAGAGTATAAATCGGCATCAAGGTCTCCTGTTTGGATACAACATTTTACAAGGACAAAGAAATACAGTTGCTCTTCCCTACTGACACTAAAAATATGAAGCAATAGCTAACACTATGACTATCTGCTCAAAAGGCATGGGAGAAAGATAGCAAACAGGTCAACAAGTCTCTACTGCAGATACTGAGAAAAGATGGGTATTTGGGGGTTGTTTTTCTTTGATTTGATTTGATTTGTTTTATTTTGTTTGAATCAGAGTCTGGCTATGTAGTGCAAGCTGGCCTTGAACTCTCGGTGATCCTCCTGCTTCAGCCTTCTAGGCCTGGGATTATAGGCAGGCATCACCACACCCAGCAAACACGGACTTTGGAGATGGCGATTCTGAGTGGTCCAGAGACCCTGGACAATGGAGGTGGATCTGTAAGGTTAAAACCATCTTCACAATAAATATTAAGATGCTATTTGTCTTTTTTTCATTGTCTTTTAAGAAAAGTGGGATGTTCCAGGAGCTACATTATTATAGGCAGATAAGTGAGAACACAGCAGAACTGTGGCTGGAGGTGGCTCTGAAGGAAAGACCGTGAGATCAAAGTCACTGTGACTAGATCTACATGTTTCCCTCAGGGATGAGTGGAAACTTGAGATTATACTATAGTTGGTACTGCCCTGTGAGGTTTTCCCAGAGAAGCAGACCACTATCTCCCAGGGCTGGGCCATCCCTCTGCCACCAGACTAACACTAAGACTATAGATTATCAACCAAGGTTAATGACGTCATCACAGGCCCTTGTACCAGCCCCAGTCCGCTGTTGGATCACTATCAGTCAAGTGGCTATACCTGCAGTCGTATTGGTTGATTATAGTTTGACCCACATTGGACCCACCTCATAACTTTGCCCCACAGAATGTCCTTGGAGATGACCTCAGTAGCAGCCCACTTCTGAAGGGACACTTTCTGCCTCTCTGGAGCTATTCCTGTTCCCCATTCCTTTTCCTATTTCCCAATAAACCTTTCCTACTGTTAATCTCCTTTGTCCTGTGTATTCATTTTTAGACTAGGGGATAGCAACTCAGAACATCTGACTTCTAGCAGGCCATGATGTGTGTAATAAGGTGGCCTGAAGAAGCAGAGGCGAGATGCCATCTGTTTGTTTATAAATCTTTTTCAGACAGGGTCTCCCTGTGCAGTTCAGGTTGGCTTTGATTGACAGGGTCCCCTGTGCAGTTCAGTTTGTAAGGCCAGGCTAGCAATGATCTACCTGCCTTGGCCTCCTGAGTGCTGGGATTATGGCATGTGCCACCATACCTGGCTCCAGCTGTTTTCTTTTTATGTATTTAGTACAGGATCTCACTACACATATCGGACTCATAGTGATCCTGTTTTGAGCCTCCCAAGCACTAGGATTACAAGTGCATGCCATCACACCCAGTCTCAATCACTGTTCAGCATGGCCCGGAGGCAGGGCTGGCACAGCATGGAGGGCGGGGAGGACCGAACTCTGGTCCCTGTGTCTGCCTAAGCAGGCACTTTAATCTGCTGAGCTATCTGGCCAGCCCCCAGCTATTTTCTATTAAGTCATATAAATGTAAAAGTCACTTTCACTCTTTGGACATTATCATTTTCTCACAATAATGTTTATGTTAACATGAGTTGATTATTTTCTGAATAAGTTAATAAATGAATATTTTTAAACTTCTGTTTTAATTTCTAATATGGTAAATAAATAGGTATAACTAGCGTCCTCAATTTTTAAGCATTTCAAAGGGCCCTGAGATTGAAACATATGGGAAGTTCTCAAATTGGCTATGAAAAATTAAAGACTTTAAAAACTTGGGTATGGTGCCACACACCTAAAAATCCCAGCTGACTTGGGAGACTGAGGCAGGAAGATCTCAAATTCAAGATCACCTGTGCTACACAGGATTTTCAAGACCAGCCTGGGCTACACAGTGAGCACCTATCTCAAAAAAAACAAATTTACTTGGTTCTTTCTGATGAGCGAGACAACCTGATGAATTCATGAGCGTGACACTCTCATTTTAATAACAAAAGTAGAGCAGAGAGGGTGTGTGGGGACAAAGGACTGAGTCGACAGAAGATGAAGACAGATGCCACATGAAATTTGGCCTTGACTGCACCACTGACCAGCTGCTGACAGACCATCACATAACCTCTCTGGGCCTTTGCCTTTGCATCCCTAACCTGAGACAGTTGGGTCAGCCATTCCCCAGGGAGGGTGGTTCCACCTCAGGGGATGCTCCTCCCATGCTCCATACTCCTGCGCCTGCTTCTCCTGCAGGCTCTGGCCTATCGCTGCTCCTGCCCCACCTAGAGAATTAATAAATGGGATCAGAACTGCTATTGCTGGGATGTGTTATGCCTGGGAGTGCTGTGAAGAGGCAGAGACAGAAAAGCCTGAAAACCACTGGGCTGAGGGACCTGTAAGGTCCCTTCTAGATATTAAATTAGCATTAAGGATGCAGCCATTCCAATCACGCATGCATGAGAAACACACAACTGTCCTTCCTTTGCATCAGGGGCTGCAGACTGAAGGCCTGTGTATCTGCAGGGTAAAGAGAGGAGGTGCTCTGGAGGCTAACAGCAGCGTGGGACTGTTTGTCACCAAGCAACAAGAAGCATTTCCAAGAGCCAGTTCTGCTGGCCAGGTCATCAAATCCACTGTATTTCACCTTTTAGAGAAACCCTACAAGGGCAATTTTTAACCAAAGAAGTGAGGCCTGTCTAATAAAATTCTTGCTAGGAGGACGAGGAGGTTTTATTTTTGGATCTAGAGTCTTAAAGAATCCTTTTTGGGGCATAGTGATGCACACCTATATTCCTAGCGCCTAGAAGGCTGAGGCACCAAGATCACCACAAGTGCAGGGCCAGCTTGAGAGAGACTCTGTATCTAGAAAGAGAGAAAAGGAAAGAGGGAGGGAGAAAGAGATGGAGGGAGGGAGGGGTGGCAAATAAAAACCTCTTTTAGGCCAGGCAAGCATTCTTTCTTGGACATGAGCTATTTTCTTACCTTATAGCCAAACAGAAAGAGTCCAAAGAAAAGGCTGTAGAGGTCAGCTGTCAGGATGCCCAGGTTGACAGAGGTTGCGCTAGTGACTTTGATCACCAGTGGCATGAAGCTATACAGGCAAAACATACAGAGGGCAAACGCCACGAACAGCAGGGCTGTGGGGAAGTGGAACATTTAATATTATGGAAGAAATCAGACGAGAAAAAGCTTCAGGCTTGCTTGCTAAATAAAACCCCCTGATCCTTCACAAATGATCTACAAAGTATCTCCTCAACAGCCAGCACTACATGAACCAATGAGACAGACTACAAAGAGGCAATAACAGAACAACAAGCTGGGATGGAGAGGAAGGATCCCAAAGACCTAACAGGGTAAATAATGACTTGAAAAAAAAAATTTGGCGGGGGGGGAGTGCAATACTGGGGATTGAACCCAGGACCTTTGCACTGAGCTATATCCTCAGCATCTTTTATTTTTTATTTTCAAACAGGATCTTTCTAAATCACTCAATTGTCCATCTGGGCTGGGCTCAACCCTGGCATCTCTAGTCTCCATCTCCTACAGTGCTAGGATCATAGGAATGCACCACCACAGCCCATGAAGGCTATCAAACCTTCCTTGTGGTTGAGCAGGTCAATAGCTTTTATCCCACGCTATCCACACCTTTCCAGACAGGGTGATCCTGGGCTAAAAGGTCAATAAAAGCACACTCACTATCAGGTATCAAAAGAACCACTCATGACCTCTGTTGGCTTTTATTTGGCCTGGTTAGATAAAGTTTGTGTAACTGGATTCAAAATAAAGTATTTTTAGGACATCAAAGGGACATATTAGATCCACTGTATTTTGTTCCCTGCATTAAATTCAATTTTGTTTCCTGCATTAAATTCCTCTTTTGGAAAGTGCTGATCCTTTGGATGCTGGCAATAGCAGGACTGTGTCTACTCCAGCACTACCTTTTAACCTCATCCCAGATGCAATCTAGATTATTTAATTGAATTCAATACCCAGACATGGTACATGATCTTCAATGGCATTTATATGCTACTGAACCTTTCTGCCCTTCATTAAGTGAGGTTCGCATCTTTCCTAGCTGTCCTAAAGCTCGCTTTCCCCTGCTTTATTTATTTGTGTGGATGCCTCAGACTATCACATGAACGAAGAAATGTGAGGCGGTAGGTGATTACATAACCATGAGATGCTTCGGGTACTGTTTCACAAATTTCACCCCCAGGTAGCCATCTTCACAGGTCTGAGGACCCTGACACACCTGTCACTGAAAGTCAGGGTGAGGAAGGTCAGTCTTCAGAATTCCTGGGGGGGGGGGGAACCTGCCAGGGGTGGAGACAATGACACACACCTCTAACCTCAACTATTTAGGAGACTGGCGAGAAAAGCAAAAGTTCAAGGCCAGCTTGAGAAACTTGAGACCTGGTCTCAAAATAAAGTTAAAAAGGCCTGAGGACATCGCTCAGTGGTAGAGCACCTGCCCAGCATAGAGGAGGCCTTCTGTTCAATCCCCACACCGCGGAAAGAAAAAGTTAACCCTGTAGGTAAGATTAAGATTTTTAGGGCACTTCACCTACCAACTCTGAAAGAAAACTCAATGTAAACCACCTTCACGGATACAACTTTACAAAGATACACCAATATTATTTTTTTAAAAGCATTTGTTTCTTTTTTTTAATGTAATTTTTTTTTTCTTTTTCTTTTTCTTTTTTTTTCATTTGTTTCTTTATGCATATTTTTGTCACTTAAAAGAGCATCTTCTGGGTGTGGTAGTGTAGGCCTGTAATCCCAAGCGCTCGGGAGGCTGAGGCAGGGGAGCCGCTGCAATTTTGAGGCCAGACGGGGCCACACAGTGAGACTCTGCCCCCCCAAGACAAAAACAAACAAGCAAACAGAAAGACACACTACTTAAAAACAAAAATCACTGATTTACATACCAATTTTCCAGTTCCAATGAATGCTGGCCATATCCTTGTACTCCACAATCAATCTAAGATTAAAACAAGAGGTCACAGCGATCCACTTAGAAAGTTTTACTATTTCATAAACAGTTTAGTTGTGATGCTTCAGCTAAGATAAGGAATTGTGTTGACATTTGAGCCTTTTTTTTTTCTTTGTTTTCTTTTTTCCGGAATCGGGGATTGAACTCAGGCTCTTGCGCTTGCCAGGGAAGCACTTATAACACTGAGCCATCTCCCCGGCCCTTCAGCTTTTTTCAAATGTTTTATGTTTTTATTTGATACAGAGTCTCACTATGCAGCTCAGACTCATAGTGATCCTCCTGTCTCAGCCTCCCCAGCGCTGAGATTACAGGCATGCACCACCATGCCGGGTTTCAGTGGCAGGCTCGGTGTGGGACCGGAATGACATGTGGTACCAGGGATCGAACCCATGTCCTTGCATTTTCCAGGCAAGTTCTTAGACTGCCAAGCTATCTCCCCAGCCCTTGAGTTTTTCTTAGATTATACAAATAAGTATCTTTTTTAAAAACCAAAGAATAAACAAAAGGTTTATTCTTTATTCAACACACAAGCTAGAACATGTCGGTATTGATCACCTTGTGACTCACTGCTCTTTGCAGCTAAAACTGTTTAGTGGGTAGTTGCCGCTTTGGGTACTCTTACGCCTTCCAGGACCAATTAACGACAATAAAGATGTGCTGAATTTGCCTACAGTCGCGCTCCTCTAGGAGGAGAGCAGGACATAATGACTTCCCTTGAATGCATTGAGGAGTTAATGCGTTGGCATTTTCTGGAAATAACTAAAAAAGAAAAGTCCTTACTGGTAACGCTGCCTCCAGTCAGAAATCCTAAACATCACACATGTGTAAGAAAATAAGGCACAAGGGTTTTGATGCTGTTAAGAGGCTAACAATCCTCTTAACAGATTTTTAGTCAGTTACTAATTTCAAATATGAATTTGGACTAAACAAAGAATATTAATGGTTAGAAAGTAATCATTTTATGATAGATTTGCTTATATTATTTCTAAGAAAAAATGTAAACACTTACAGCTGTATGCCACTGATAATTGTCCCAAATAAGCCCAGCATTCCTAAAAATTCCAGTCTGCTCAGTTTCTTCACAATGTACTCTTCGCACACATTAGACACGGCATAGAGGGACGCCCCGAGCAGGACCAAGATGTCACCGATCAGCACGTCACTCCCTGCGGCAGAGGAAACGCACAAGGGATCCAGGTCAGCAGGTAGCCAGGAGTCCATGCGACTCCTCTTCCTTTAAGTAAGATTTTCTTTAATGCTGGTTTCTAGGAGTTTAAACTCTCTTCTTTGTACTCTCTGACATAATCTGTACCACACAGCAAACTGTTCATATTTGAGCTCCTCAGGAGACTCTAACAAACCAGAGGATGATACGGCACAGCCTCGACAGGAGGCCTCCGCAGTGATTCTGCGGCTGATACATTCCTGGGATTTACTGAAAATGACAGGAAAGGGAGCTCATAAGCTTAATGCAAAGAGACACTGGAGGCCCTTGTAGATTGGATGAATTCAGACCTTTATCTAGCTTAAAGAAGTCTCCAGTATACACTGAGTCTCCTTTTTGACCAAAAAGAAAAAAAATCTAGTTTTCCAGTAATTAATCCAAAACGTTTGAACCAAAAGATTCTTCCAGACCCACCATCCCCCAGGAATGTCTCAACTGGGTACTGTGGTGCACAGTAGCACCTGGGGAGGCTGAGGTAGTAGGGCTGCAAATTTGGAACCTGCCTGGGCAACCTGGTGAAATCCTGTCTCAAAATAAAAGTTTCAGAGGTCTGGGGACTAAGTTCAGTGTGAAAGTCCTGAGTTCAATCTCCAGTGTGGAAAGAGAGAGAGAGAATGAGAAAGAAGGAAACAAGAGAGGGAGGGAGAGAGGGAAGAAAGAAAAGAAAAAAGAAAGTACTCTGTCATCATACAAACAAAATTAATGTGACCAAAAAACAATAAGGTAAGGTTTGTGGGCCAGGAGTGACATAAAGATTGTAGTATTTAGAGTTATTTTAAAACGATAGAATGAAGTAAGTTGAAAAATAAAATGCAAAATGTAGTTAACCAGATTGCATTTTCTGCCCTTTACTGTATCTTCGGAAAACTACAAGTGGAAATTTGAGAAAAACCTTTCTGTGACTAAGCCACCAACACACGACCCAGGCATCTTACCTGAATTGTCTTCCCTCCCTGCCAATATGTCTGCGCCGACCATGGTTCCCACGCCCAGCAGGCAGACAAGCACTGCGATGAAGTGGATTACCCTGTATCTCGCACGAAGAACAAACCACGAGAGAGCCATCAGCACAGGAATCCCAAAGCAATCCAAAAGCTGCGAGGAGGGAAAAACAACTTTAAACATCCCTCTTGGGCCGAAGGATGGGAAATCCAGTACTAACAGGAAGCAGCATTGATTGAGCATTTATTATTGCCATCGCTACTAAGTTTTACTTAGATTAAGTCATCTAACCCTCACCATAACTCTTAATCCCACTCTATACTGACAAAATAAAGACACAGAGAGGCCAAATGAGCTGCCCCAAATCACACACAGCCCTATGCTGGTACGCAACTGCCTGCAAACTCAAACGTGGCATGCGATGCAAGCTGGCAGCAGGAGTCCATTCCTATTGTTTGGTTCTGGATGCACAAGCTAGAACGTGTCAGTATCAATCACCTTGTGACTCACTGCTCTTTGCAGTTAAAACTGTTTATTTGGTAGTTGCCGTTTCGGGTGCTGTTACGCGTTCCAGGACCAGTTAACGACAAGCACAGAGAGGCACCACCTCTGGTTAGCTGTAGGAAAATGCAGCGCTGGGTCTCAGGTCCTAGGGCAGCACCTGTGCGGCTCACCCCACACTCCACCCCGCGTATCCCGAGATGCAGGTGGCAAACTTTCCTCCCTGCACACATCCATTTATTCAGTCAACAAATATTTATTAAGCACCTCACGTGTGCAAGGGAAGCCAGGGACACAGAAATGAAGGGGTCAACCACAAGCTCTGTCCTCAGGGGCACCCAGAAAGCTAGATGGGCATGGAATAAACCATGAGAAAGGCAGACATTTAACTGTACTTGAGCAAAGTGCAACAAGGGAGCACAGCTAGCTGTGGGAAAGAGCACGGTCCCCGAGGAGTAGCCAAGCCCTGGGGACAGAGGCCTGCTCACAGGACAGGTTTGGCTCATCCCCCGCTGTGCCACTCTACACCTGCTGAGCCGGGGTCTAGGAACCTCCACCCCAGACACTGCCCATCTGAAAAACTAGGGGTTAATGGAGCCAAAATCACTTGCAAGATGAAGGAAAGCAGATTTCACTTGCTTGATTCTTTTGATTTTAAAGAGAAAGACAAGGCAATCATACAGCATTTCCAAACAGGATAGCAGGACATTAACAATGCTTAATATATTGCATATTGTTATCTTCAAAGTAGTTTGCTCAGATTACAAGATACAATCAGCACAAAGTGTTCTTTTCAATGAACTCATAGAAATGTACAATACAATTATCTTCATCACTTGCTCAATTCTTTTTTAACTTGATGACAGGCCTGCGCCACCATGCCCAGTCTCAATTGCTGTCTCAGCACACCCCAAGGGCGGGATCAAACCCAGATCACTGCACTCTGCCTAAGCAGGTATGTTAGTCCCCTGAGCTATTTGGCTGGCCCACTTGCTCAATTCTTAATGTCACAAATTTTATGCAAATTCAGGGATAAAATATATTCAAGCATAATTCCTGATGCGTTTAAGTATATTCCAGAATAAAGCCAGGCATGGTGGTCAAACCTACAACCCCAGAATGTGTGAGGCTGAGGCAGGGGGATTGTTGAGTTCAAGGCTACCATGCGCTATAGAATGAGGCCCTATCTAAAACCAAACAAATAAAAATATAATATATGCATTACACTAGTAATATTTCTGAAACATGTTTACTGCTCACCCTGGTTTGTGTTTGTTTGTTGTCTTACGCAGCTTCTGTCTGTATCTGCTCAGTTGCACACGAGGAGACCCCCGAATCTCCACCAGCCTGTTAGATCCCATCTGTAGCTGTGTACGGGCTGCTCTGCACTGCAGCATCCTCCCTGGGGGCCAACACGCCACGCGCAGGAATGGGCTTCTGGCCTTGCTCTCTGTTCTAGCTGCAGCTCTAATCTCCATAATACTTTATTGAGCCCGCCTGAATCGCAAACCATTAAATGATGCTGATAACAGCCTGTCCCAGAAGACGCCAGCAGACTACTTCGGCCATGTTTTAACAAAGTCTAAGCTATACTTCTCAAATAAAAACACAGGGAGAAAAAGGCCATTCTTAGAACTATCACAGAAGATTCTATACCCCCCATTTGTTTTGTTTTGTTGTGTCAGGGTCTCACAATGTAGCCCAGGCTAGTCTTGATCTCACAAGCATCTTCCTACCTCTGCCTCCCAATGCTGGGATTACCAGCGTGCACCACCATACTTGGATTTCCCTACCCCAAAATTGTCTTGTATCAATCTTAATCAATTTTGTGGGGCCAAAAATGACCCTGTAAGGAGCCACCTATCCACTGAAGAAGCCCCCGAGGCCTCTCACTGATCAGCTAGCTCTGTGCCCTCTCTGGGCCACAACATGGAATGAAGGGGCCAAGCAAATAATCTCAGCTTGCCAATACTCTAACATCCCCAGTGCCTCCTGGTACCTGTCACATTCAGTCGAAACACACTTTTGACGACAGATGTCTTCTTCCTTGATGCATTCAGCCCTAGAGTCTCATTTAGTTTAATCTTTAAACTTATGAGCCAGGAATGGTATAATCCCAGCACTTGGGAGGCTCAGGCAGGAGGGATCACTGTGAGTTCAATGCCAGCCTGAACCATATGGGGAGACCTGACTCAAAAACCAAAAGCCAATCCTGGGCATGGTGGCACAGGCCTGTGATCCCAGAACTCCACATAATGACATGAAATCTGCATCGAAGTAAATTCTCTTAGCACAGAACAGGGAAATGGAAAGAAAGTGATGAATGGTGTACAATCAAGAGTTCTCAGGCCGGCGGGTTCGATCTTCGGGCCTGCCCTGCCAGCCCCGCCCCCGCCCTGAGAGGGCAATTGATTTGTTTGAGTTTTTGTTTTGTTTTGTTTTTTGTTTTGAATAGATTTTTGAGTTTCATTAAAATCTTACATGAACAAGAAATTGGAAATACAATCACATCAAAGAACAAATTGTCACGGCTTTGACATTTAAGACAAACAAATTTGTAGGGCAGAATTCAAAAAGGTTGTGATGTTATAACAATTTAAAATACAGTTAACCTACTTCTAAGAATGCAAAACATATAGTCATAGGTTATTTTCAATGCAAGAAAACAAATTTTTTTGCTTTAATTTCTTAAAACTACTAAGACAAAGCACTAGTTTGTATTTTGATTTACAGCATACTTCATACTCCTATGTAATCTATCCCAAATCCAGAAAAGAAAAAAAAAAAGAACGTCCAAACCAAAGGTTCTGTAAAACCATGATTTAACAACTTGTTCTGAAACTAAAATGAAGCCTGAAATGATAAAAGCATTGTAATCCCCCAAATAAGAGAACTCTACAAGCCCAATAATGTCCAAAAGCATTTATGCAAAGAAAGATAAAAAGACGAGTATATACACAATAGTGATTCTTCAGCCCAATACAAACGGCAGCAAATTACTACTTAAAGATGAAACAGTTAAGCCATTTTTTTTGAAGAATGTATATTAGAGCCAATTGTACTTGACAGTATCATTTTTAAGCCCTCACTTGTCTATTTCCATTGTTGCCCATAAGTATCCTGATAAAATTCCTGGTTGTCATTATTGTAACCATAGTTACCAGAATAGTTACCACCTTGCTGAAGCGGCTGCTGAGCGATGGGTTGTGAACCCGTTCTGTAGGTTGTTGGTCTAATGACACTTGGAATCAAGTTGGGTGTACCCGTCTGCCTTTTTCTTGCCTCCTACACTGCCCCCATGATTGCCCTGAGCTCCATGGGAACCATGGCCTGAGAGGGCAATTGAGACCTGGCATGGTGGCGCGTGCCTCTAATCCCAGCTCTTGGGAGGCTATAAACAGGCAGATCACTACGAGTCCAATCTAGTAGTGAGACCCTGAACACCCTGTAGACCCTTCCCTAAAATACAAAACAAAAAAGTTCTCTGGGGAAAACTGGAAGACACAAAAGGAGAAAAAAAAAAAAAAAATACAGGAGAGAATGTCAGTGGGGGAGGCTGAGGCAGGGGACAGCTGCGAGTGCAAGGCCAGCCTGGGCTACAGGGTAAATGCAGGGCCAACCTCAACTACAAAGCAAGACCTTGTCTCACAAATGAATGAACAAACAAAGAAAGCCCCCCCCAAAATATTGTACAGTCACAATAGACAGAGTACAAAGTAAGACCTTGGGGAGGAGAGTGGGGCGACATGAATATGGAAATGAGTTTGGCCACATTAAAACATATTTAAAGTGCAACAGCATACAGAAGAAAAAGCAAGAATGAATTCGGCCTTAGAGGACCAGGGAAGGTCTTGCAAACACTGCCTTTTAGGAAAAATAGAGTAGTCTGAGAGAGTAGCAGACTGTGGCGAGAATGGGCAGCAGAGGGGAAGGGACAGGAGAGGCCAGTGATGCCAGTGGCCAGAGCCCAGACTTCACATGAGCCGCCACCTGCCTATCTGTAAGTACAGAATCTTAGAAGGAGCCCTTAGGAAGGAAGCTCCAAGACCTTGCAATCCAAACTGCTGCTTCTTCAGATTATGTAGGCAGAATTATTCCAGTTGGGACTACAATTTCAGCAGTTCTAGTAGTAACAGTCACCTCTGGCCACAGGGAGCGTTAGGTGCTGGTGCTTAGCTTTGGACCATAAGTGCCTGGCTTTTGCCAAATGGTCATGTTTTTCTACTAGGCAAGGATGAGACAAATTGTTTTTGATACCACAAGGCATCAACTTCAGCCACAAAAATCCAGCCATAAAAGTCTGGTTTAACTGTGTTTAGGCTTTCACCAATTAAACTTTTTTTCTCATTAGTAAGATAATCAGCCTTTAAAAATTATAATCAAGGAAGTAAAATGGGAGTGAGAGTTAAAAGGGTAGTTGGCGCTAGAAAATATTCCCTCCTGACCTCCACCCTCATGCACTGATGATATTTAATGTATGTTCACATCAGACAAATGCTGTTTTCATCAGTCTCTACCTTTTGCTGTGAGATCATTTCACTTGAAGCTCTTCACGATTATTAAAAGTTTGAGAGCTAATACAGACATCTCTAAGATATGTACAGTGAGACATGCAATTCACCCAAGTCATAAATTCATTAAGATGTGAAGTCGAAATCTAGCCTTGGCATCCACTCGCTTTCACCTCTGTCTATAAAACATCTTGCCACCGGCGATGGGGAGGCAGGGTACGATGCACCCTGTCACTTGTCACTTGCTAACACTGGGAGAGCTGCGATCAGACTTCCTCACCTCCAAAGTGCTGCTACATGGGCGCACTTCTCCTTCCACGTAGCTACGATAAACCTAACAGGGAAGGAGGAATGGAAATTCCACCTTTGGCTGCTGCATCTCCCCAGAACGTAACAGCCTCCTTCCAGCAGGTTCTGTTTGGTTTGCTTTTTCAGTGCTAGAGACTACAACTGAGCCACACCCTTCCCCTTTTTTTATTTCATATTTTGAGGCAGGGTCTCACTAAGTGGCTAAGTTGCCTGAGCTGGGTTTGAATTTGCAGCCTCCTGCCTGGCCTGCCCGAGTGCTGGGATTGCAGGTGCGCACCACCCCGGCGGCTTCTCCCGTCATGAGCGTCTGCTTTGTTTCTAGGCCCCAGTCTCTGCGCTACACAGACATCCACTTTGATGTCTGAGCAACACATAAAACAGAATTCTTGTCAACCTCGCAGAACCAACTGTCAACTAAACATTTATTCTTATTTTGGTAGGAACTGTTCTCATTTGCTACGGCATTAGCAATTTAGGAAGTGATTAACTTGTATACCTTTTCGCTAATTCAGGGAAACCTTATGCATCAGAACATATGCTCTACCAGAGCAGACGTCGTCCACCTGCTTTCAGGTTTTCTTCAAGGGAACAGGTTCCCACTTAAATTAGGCCGACACATACGGGTACATTCTCCCTTTCTACAGCTGGGAAATCCCAGGTGGCCCGAGGGCCGGCCTTACCTGGACGCTGGTGAGAGTCGTGTACTGGTACGCCCTGACAATCAGGTAATTAGCTTCCACGTCTGCCAGTCCCAGTAGGATGTACTTCCACCACTTTCTCCTCAAGATGTCCAAAAGGTTATCACTGCCTGGTTGAAAAAGAAGCTGGGTTAGCACATGCGACCTGAAGATGACACCTGAAACGAGGCTGCGTCATCTGGGGAAGTATTTGAGCTCCCTACTTCTTACACACACACACATACACACACACACACACACACACACACACACACACACACACTCCCAGCATTCTGGGAAGCTGAGGCAGGAGGTTTGCAAGTCTGAACCCAGCCTGAATTTAGCCATTCCATGAGACCCTATCTCAAACTATAAAATAAAAAAGGCCTAAGGAGGTAGCTCAGTTTGAATGTCCTGGGCTCAATTCCCAGTACTGCAGAAACATATATGTGAAACATTCATATATGTACACATACATATATATGTATATATGAAATATATGAAACATACATGTTTGAGTATATATGAATATATATATGAATGAATGGCACAGTCCATGCTACAAAATAGAATATTTTCCTATGAATTAACTGGTTATTTAACCTCCAGTTATGGGTTTTGTTTTGTTTGCTTTTCCAGCGCCCAGGATTTAATCCAGGCCTTCAAACTGAGCCATACCCCTCACTCTATTTTTGAGGCAGGGTCTCACCAAGTGGCTAAGTTGGAAGACATGTGCTTGAAAAGGAAAAATTAAGCTCATGATAAACTTAGGAAAGAGCTCCAACACTATGAAAAAACATCTTTAATTCTCCCAAATAGTTTGTTCAAATGATGTAGGATTCACCTGCACCACAGAAGGTACAACACATACACGGGATTGTACGTATAGAGCATATATAACGCATATATGAGAAGGTTTTATGGAAAGATAACACAAAAAGAAAAGAAATAAGAATCATAACTAAGTAAAGTACTAAGATCATAACTATGTTACTATAGTTAAAACCCAAGTAGCAGGAACATTCTGGAAACAGCAAGTAAGCCTTCCTTAAATAGGATGTTACAGAAAGCACATGACACCATCGCTTAGGGGACCTCACGCTCGGGCTTGGGAGTCACACTGACTGTGAAAGCCCAGGCTTCTAGAAAAGAGCAAAGCGCAGGGCTCTCCGCTGTGTGCCAGTTCTGATTCCAGCTCCTAGCATTCCTGCCGCATGTGGCCTGACCCCCAAACAGGGTTTCTCCCTCTTTCACAACCGTTTCCTACTTTCTTTAAAAAAGTAAGTTGCTGACCTTGACACAAAAGAATACCGCTGATGTAGAAAGGTTCATTTAAAGGGCCTGGGAGATGGCTCAGTGGAATAAGCACTTCCTTGGCAAGTACAAGGGCCTGAGTTCAATCCCTGGTTGGGGGTGGGGGGAGTTCATTTACAGAGAGAATTAACAAACACCACCCTGGTGGTTTTACGTAGAATGAAAATGGAGGTACTGCACCCTCCCAATCGGGGTGGGGGGACACCCACTCTCTTCACACTTGTAAATCCACTCTTATTTATCTGACAGTATCATGAGCTCTCTTGTGGGGAGAACATGACGGGCTGTGTACTGACGAGCCCCAAGCACAGAGGTGGTGGAAGCGAGGGGTCGGGGATGTGGCCTAGGGTGGACTCCTGACCCCAAACTCACTGTTCAAATGACCTGGAGTAAGTTCTCCAAGGGCCACCTGCCCCAGCGCCCCATCTGCGAGGTAGAGATGGCAATGAAAGCCACCTGAGCTCATGGGCCTCTATCAGGTAACACCTCACTTCAAGAAGGCAGCACAACTATGCCTGGAGACTGGGGAAGGAGCTCAGTGGAAGAGCGCTGGCCTAGCATGGGGTGGGGGCTGCAGAGGGAAGAGGAAAAAGGAGGGGACAGCCTGGCACAAAAACATTAGATTCTACTTTTTCTGTAGCTAACTAGAAAGACGGAACACTATGATGGTACTAAATAGCGTGGGTAGCCAGTGATAAAGATGTGAATTCTTTGCCCTTGTGGCTGCTCAGCCCGCGTTCTGGGACGGGCGGCATAGCTCAGGGACAGCACTTGCATCACATGCACAAGACCCCGGGCTCAGTCCTCAGCGCTGTTAAGGAAACAAGCAAACCAACCTAGATCTGATCTGCACGTATCCGTACCCCATCTTCGCTTAGCTGGAAACGCTATTCTGAAGTGTGATGTTCTCATCTTTTCTGGAATTTTTAATATCGTCTCTTACTTTTACCAACCAGAAGGAAAAAAAAAATACAACTTAACATTTACACTTTCTTTGAGCATCACTCTGTTACAAACAGTTCATGGAACTTATTTTAATCAATACTTTCAGAGAGTTCTGTGTAAACCTCCAGCCACTACTCTCCTAGAATTTAGAGGTGTCACGCTTTTCCAATAACTTTTATAAAGCTGTTTTGAGTTTTGCTGTGTTTTATTTTTAAGCTTCTAAAAGTCAAGCTTTTTTATAAAAAAAATTCACACACTTGACGTACCTGACCGAAAGGCTAGCATCACTGTGTAAATCAGGAAGAGCGCGCAATAGTTGAGAAAGCTCTGGAACATGGGGGTGTTGACATTATACTTTTCTGTCAAATACTGGCTGGTGATAGCTGTACCACAAATGCACAAGGACAACATCTGCCCCAGGGCAACTGTCTTCAAAATGTGCCTAGAAAATAAAGAAAATTGGAATAACGTGCAAGAAAATTACATCTGAAATACACACACACACTGTTGTGCTAAACACACCAAAACACTAATTATGTCAAATGATTATTTCATTTCATTGCCTAGTTCATGTGCATGCATATTAAATTATGGGTGAGCAACTATATTTGTATTCTTTTACATCTCCAGTCCCGCCCCCATTTTTAGTAAATATATACCATTTCCTTCTCTCATTGTCTAAATACTTGATTTCTTCCACTGCCCTGCTATTTTTTGATTTATTGGATACAAGGTCTTACTACACAGTTCAGACCCATAGTGATGCCGTCTCAGCCTCCCCAGTGCTGGGATTACAGGTGTGTGCCACCACACCTGGTTTTGGTGCCTGGCGTTATGGTTTAGCACAACCTGCGGTTCTGGGACTCAAACTCGGGTCTTCACACTTGCCAGGCAGGCTAAACTTAGACCACTGAGTATTTCCCCAGCCCCCAATGCCCTTCTAGAAAAAGTGATTTTCTTTTTGTTTTGTGGTACACGGGATTGAACTCAGGATCTTACACTTGCCAGGCAAGCACTTATGCCACTGAGCTATATCCCCAGCCCTCTAGAAAGAGTGATTTTCAGTGTTGGCTGTTAGTCACAATCATGGAGCTCAGACACAGATCGGAGTCCAGGGACTCTTCAGATGAGACCCCAGGGAATATCATGACTTGGCCTTGAGAGG